AACCAGATGCGCACCCCAGCTCAGCAAAAATTGCGATAAAAAATCTATTCCAATGTTCAGGCTCAAAAACAACGACTACGCAATAACTTATCATATACAACTTTTCACACATAGGAGAAGTGGAACTTCGCAACACTTGGGATACAACACAGTCATTAAAAAAATATTGAAAAAAATAGGTGAACCAAAATTTTCGTGTCTCGATGAAGGACACCTAGGGCTCAGCTAAATCTGTAGGTAGGCATTTGATAACTTTTGAACTTGTGATACTGATGCGGGAAGAAATACGTAATATCAAAAATTGGACTTCGCCCAAATCCTTAGTTGTTTCTTACTAAAATAAGTGAGAAGAGTGCAAATTTTTGAGGTTTTGGAAGTTTACCAAAGACAAAACCTTTCTCTTACAAAAACTTAGGGAAGAGCCTCTTCAGTAAAAAAAAATTCGCGCAACCGCTTCTTTCATGAAATTTTCATCTCAAATTTGATAGGGTAGTTTTTAAGAAAAATAAAAAATTGTCAAAATTAAAACAATTGACTTCCAAAAATGGTCCAATTTTCAAAACATTCACGAGTTTGAAGCCCATAATTATTTTCTTAAAAAAACAGGGCGTAGAAAACTTTACAAGTATCGATAAAACCTATGATATCAGCTTTGGCAGGATAGTCATCGAGAAAAGTCCCAAAAACGGTAAACAAATCAAAAAATTGACATTTCCAAGAATCATAGATTTTTCTTTCAAACAAATTAAGCGTAGCCACATATGCTGAAGAGATTCATCCGATGTGATTTCGATTAAACCCAAAAACCTAGGTTTGACAGGGTAGTTTTCGAGAAAAGTCTAAAAGTTTCAAAAAACGGTTAAAAAATCAAAAGTTTGACTTTTCCGAGGGCCATAACGTTTTACGACAGCAAATTAGTTAGAGCCGCTTAGTGCATGGAGGTTTCAAATAACCTGTTCTCTCCATTGATCCAATGAACTCAGATTTGGAAGAGTAGTTTTCGATAAAAGTCAAAAAAAAATTGGAAAAACGAACGAAAAATCAAATATTTGACTTTTCCGAGGGCCATTAATTTTTGTATTAAAAACTTTGCGCCATCCATTGAAACCAAAGTCTTCAGACTTGCCTGGGTAGTTTTCGAGAAAAATTGGAAAAGATTTTAAGAAATGGTCGAAAAAAATGAGTATTCCGGGGGCCATAATTTCATTTGTAAAAAAACTTGGGTGCAACCACTTATGGAGGAGATACATGCGTTCCATTCAATGAAACCAAAATCTCAGATTTCATAGATTAGTTTTTGAGAAAACGAAAAAAAAGGAAAATATTGGTAAAATAATCCCAAAACGCCTCAAAAAAAAATAAAAACCCAATCCCATACACTTTCAAAATGCGTTTCCATCAAACAGGAATTCTAGGCAAACATGCCAAGCAATACATTTGAAAGTCACATTAGCAACTGAAAAAAAAACTTACGAAGCGGAAACAAGGCCGACAATCTTTGAGCAGACACCAGTTGGGCCGAAAAAAAAACTGATTTTGTAAAAATTAGTACCCTGTAGTAACTAGTACACACCAAATAGTTAAATTTGAATTTTCATGAAATTGTGCAGGTCTGTTGAAGAGCATGTCAAGTGAAGAGCATTGAGCATGTCAAATTTTTTAACTTATTTGGTTAAACTAGTTATTTACCCGGAAGTCTACCTTCCGATTTGATAGCGCTTGCTTATAGCAAGCGTAAATATCTTAACAGTTTTCAACAATCAGCACAATGCATCAATTCTCAAACACACTTATAGTTCATATAAAAATTTAGTTAACATGCAAGGCAGGGTAGAGAATCATTTCACGGAAGACAATTTTTTCTGACACAGCTAACTCGATCTGCTGAAGAATCGACTGTTTCCGATAACTTTGCACTTGAAGCTCCATTCATTTCATTTTTCTTTTATCCAAGTAAGAGGAAAAGACAAATTTAAAATATCAAAATACAGTTTTTACGAACCTCGTTAGGCCAATAACGAAAGTGCAAACCTAAAACAATTCAATCTAAAAAATTTTCGAAGTCTGCAACAAATAAAAATTACAACAATTTCATAACTTTCAAATCTACAACAATTTCATAACTTTGTCTCGGACGATGTATAAACAGCACTAACAAGCATTGAGAAACAATGATCATGCGGCAACTAGGGCGAAACAAACTGGGTTGACCCTTGTTAGGCCGAAAACGAAACTTGAGACAAAAAAACTTCTAGCTATAAATCATTAAAGATAACGCGCCCTTGAAAATGCGCAACGTTTGTCGAAAAAACCGATATAGCATACGCCAAACCAGTTTAACAAAAAAATTATAAAATCATTTAAAATCAGAGTTGGTAAATGTACCAACTAGAGCGACTTTCAATTTTAGATTTTAAAAAATGGTTCAAAAAATGGAATCAAAAATTAAAAAGCCGTAGCCATGAAAAAGAACGGCCTGAAAAGAACGGCTTGAAAAAGAACGGCTTGAAAAAAATGGAATCAAAAATTAAAAAGCCGTAGCCATGAAAAAGAACGGCTTGAAAAGCTTAACAGCAGTGCATCAAAAAACAACGGGAAATCAACCGACAGAAATTAAGAGGAAAACAAAAAATCAGCAAAAAAATCCATATTTTTTCAATAATTACATTTGAAAAAATTAATTCCTACCCTTCAAGAAATTTGAAATGGTTTTAATTGATATTTCAAGAAAAAGAGTCAGCCTTGAAGCATGTCGGCAAAAAATGTAAGAACAGTTGTGTACGGGAAAAAAGTTTAGTTCCCGATTACAATTCACTAGCTCTCGCAATTGAAACAAGAGGGTTCAAAGATAAACACAGAATATGCACTTCGGAAAACAAGCGAGAACAAAAAGTAGCTCTAAAAAGGCAAAAAAATGAATTGGGCAAAAAGTGAAAATAAGCCTTAAGAAATAATACTTTTGGTACGTTACGGTATCGAACCTCCAACCTGGAGACTAGGAGTCTCGCAACCACGTATCAGTTACACGTTCGCTTAAAAAATTACTGAACTAGCAACCAATAAGGCAGCTAGAGTTGCTATGAAATTGCCAACGCTATGCAGCAAAAGCACCAAATAAAAATCAAACTATTTCAATGTGCTGGAATCGAACCTCCTCCCTCGAGATAAGTAATCGCAAGTCGAAGTATTTGCGCCACAGTCGCTAGAAAATACGTTAACACGAGTCGCCACAGGGTGATAACGGTACAAAAAACGGTGACACTGACACCATTGATACTGGTGCTGATAAAATTGAAAGCCTAGCACTGAAATTTTTCAAAAAGCTTTTCTCTCTCTTTTTGACACAACTTTTACCACAATTCAAAACAATGAACTTTTCGAAATATCAACTGAGCTCAATGTTTCAAAATTTGTCTCGCAGAACAATGTTTGAAAATATTCCCAGAATATTACCTGAAATAATACCAGAAAAAAAAACACTGTAAACATGCCTCCAATTTTTGGATTTATGGAACAAGAGCGGCAAAAATTTCTCGGCAATGATGAGAATTTGCTAGCAATGATAGATCAAGCTTCGCACTGATTTGGCACTGATAGCAATGATACCCTGGCCACACTGCATCTACAAAGCAGCTACATATGCTATTACATTACCAATGCTTAAAAATAGACCATAAGTGTCACCAAATGAGCACTTAAATTTGGGAGTTGCAATCGAAAAAAAAACTTGCTTCCTAATATGACACTACGCTCACTAGCTTGCCTGTGTAAAAATAATTATTTTCTTTGAAAAACATCAGCTGAATTTCTTAGAACACAACTATCTGCACTAATCCATAATTTTTGTAGCAGAAAAGTAGACTCGAATCCGAAACCTTTGTCCTTCAAATATTGGACAGTATTCCTCCATCAAATATTTACAGTCAGACATTTCAGTAAAATTATAAGACACTTTGCTTGAGTAAATATTGAAAATTGGGTTTGATACCTTTACCTAATCGCACGGACAAAAAATTATTAACAATCAAGTTGTAACATAACAGCAAGTCTCGGATTCGGCTACGTCTCGGATTCGATCAGCGATCAAAAGATTATGAGTCTCACGCTCTAACCACTCAGCCCCAGACGCTTAATAAACCACAAACACTCGCCACAAAACAGTGAACTTTTTAATTCTACAGATTGTGATTATAGCAAAAGTCCCATCAAATTAGTGAACACTTTTAATGATCACTTTCATTAGCGAACTTGGTTAGAAAAAGAAGGTTCGTAGTAATACACTGACGCTCTCAAGCTCGGTAGAGTAATAAATACACAAAATTAACCCAAGACTGGAAGTCGGTTAAAACAGCTGAACAATTGTTTTCTTGCAATCAGCGTAAGATCTAATAAAAAGCTACTAAAAAAGATTCTGCACTTCACAATCGAGAGGCTCCAAAGTACTTAAAATGAGTAAAACTAATAGAAAAAGGCATTTTCCCTTCGGTCTCTTGATTGATCGGAATAAAAATTAGTCAATTCGCAAATCCAAGCTAGAAAGCTGCGAAGATTATGAAGCTTTGAAATGGACAAGAAAAAACAAATTTTGCAGACAATAATTTGGAATGTAATAAACTAAAGACAAGGACACAACTTTGTGATGCAATAAATTGGAAAGTGTCAAGCCAAATTTTGCAGAAAAAAAATTGCGTTTCAAAAATTTCGGGAAAAACAGTCTGAAAATTTCTGATTTTTTATGATTGCACTGTTGTATGAAACAAATTGCTCTTTTCGCTTCAATTGATGAAATAAAAAAGAAACAACTAAATGTTAACTCAAAAAAATCAAATGTTTAAACATATTATTGTGCCAATGCAACCTCTTGATTCAAAAATGTCACCAAAAGTGGCACCTTTATTTGCGACTTAGATTGGGGTAAAAAATTTGCATCGTGGTCACACTATCCTTCGCATGTGTAAAAAAAACAACACCCATGAATTGAACTCAAAACTGTGACTCACCTTTCAGCAACGAGGTAATAAAGGAAAGTGTACAGTGCAGTCGACAACAAATAATAATGAACATAAGGTCGCAGGTCTTCCATTTCAAGACGTTGAAGAAAACAAATTATCCAGATTGAGATAGACAGCTAGTTCTGATCATTCGCCTCGAGAACACCATTTGTTACCTTGATCTTTTGTCGAATGACCATAACCAACTAAAACATAAAAGTACAATGGACTGTGATCTGTATACAAAATTTCAACTGTGGAATAACAGTAGCGGTTACATTTGCCAGCCCTATATGATGCTTTAAAATTTGAGAAGTTAAAAGATATCAAGATCGATTTTCTTTTGAGTAAATTAAACTACTGAACTTTAGAGATTTAAAAATAAAGTTCAAGACACTTTTCGGTCAGTATGATGTTTTTCTATCAGTAAATGGCTTCTCTAAGAAAAGAGCAAAACCCATGTAAATCTACGCAATATCTAAATTTTGTTTCGGTCCCCTCCGTCGATGTCTTAAATTTGAATATAGCCAACAGAGGGTTAAAAAGTGTGAAAGACCAAGGAAACCGAAAAAAAAGATGGAAATTTTTCGAATGGAAAACTTTCGATATTCGAAGAAAAAAATATGTAAGGTTGAAGCTTTTTAACTTTTTGATAAAACTAAAAAAAACAATTTAAGAAAACGGGATCAATGCGTAAACTTTTTATTCCGCTGGGAAATCTTAAAATTAAATCTAGTTTCGAAAATAGAAACCGTTCGCGTGTTTTTTTTGCGTCATTCCGCTTAATTGAGAGCGTAATTTACCTTACTTCTGGATGAAGTAGATGCTGTACTTCAAGATACCGTAAAAAACTTTTAGGAGAAAAGCAAAGCTGCACGTTGGGTACACAAGCTAGAAAACGGCAAAAACTACTCTAAAAGGGCTAAGAAAAAGGAAAGGGAATGAAAAGGCAAAATGTTTGTATGAACTTGATTTAAATTACGGCCCAAGAACGTGAGAGGCTAACATCCTCCCATCTGGGGCATGTGCTCTTGTAGATAGTCGAACACAAAGGCCCAGCTGAAACTTTCGCTTGGTTTTTAGTGATTTCTCTATCAAAAATAGGGAGTAGCAGTTGATACAGGGAAAATAACCTGGTCTTTCGATTGAAATCTTTATCTGAGATTTGAAAGGGTACACTGCGAGACAAAAACTGAAAAAAAAAGAAAAAATTTCAAAATTTGAACTTTTCCCAAGGCCATGCTTGCTTATCTAGAGAAAAATGCTTAGAAAAAATGTAACCAGGAAAGATCCTTACGTGTTTTTCTTTGATACGGTTGATCCCTTGATCGCAGATTTGGAAGGTTGTTTTCTGAGCAAACAGAAGTTTCACAAAAACTGATAAAATATCGAAAATACGCCATTTGAAGGCCATTACTTTTTATACAAAACAGGATGTTGTCATTTATGCAGGAAAAATTCTATCACCTCTTTTATTGATAGAACTATCAATCTCAGATTTGGCAGGGTAGTTCTTAAATAAAAAGTTACCAAGAACGGTCGAAGCTTAAAAACTTGGAATATTTATGACGCCATGACTTTTTTCAACAAATAGTAGGGCCCAAAGTTTTATGCAGTGGGGATCATGTTCTCACATTTGGTAGTGCAATTTCTCAGACAATAAAGTCTCGATTATACCAAAAACTCAACGCCTAATGCTATCAATTATAATCCCATTGATCCAAAAGAGAAAAGGACTGAAATAATCGGCTATTTGAAGTTTGATAACCCGATCAGCTGCAATAGAAGTGAGCTGTTTGTTACATTCCACCTGAGTGAAGTCAGTACAATTATTTCGACTTCTGTTTATCGGATATTAGAGAGACAGAGAAAGACGCTGGTCTCGTAAATGCACCAAAGGCCGAGACATATGCATTACAGAAAAACTATTTATTGAGTTAGGACCGAGGTGGTTAACTCATTGAGTAATTTCGGATAGGGTACACCGTCTGCTCGTCACGCTATCTTATTTTCGGCCGGATAGATTCGTGCAACTTCTTAGTCTAATACCGATCCTAATCTTACTCTTATACTATCTAGTCTCAGGTTGTTTAACTAGTCTCTGCTAGGCTCAATAGATCTAGGGTATACTGGTTTATTGCAGCTGCTGAAGTTCTCTTGGAGAGGCAACTAATTTCTAAGTTAAATTCAAATCTCTCTGGTGCTGAAATTACTAGTAATTTCAGCACTTACAAATAAGTGGGTTGTTAGTTAGATGGATCATGATTGGTTAATATTAAATACTTTACAGTGGTAAAATATCTAATTTATCCAATCATAAAATGTAGTTTAGATCAGGTTCCACCCATCCGGGTTTTACAGAGTTTTTTAGAATAGTCTTTCTGCAATTCAAAGGATGGATGATGGACGTTGGTATTTGGCGAACATCATATTTCTTCTGGGTTCTCTTGTTAGAGAAGTTCCAGGTTCAATCGCTGTGTCTTCTCATGACAACGACTGGGTTTTCGCAACAAACTCAAATCTGATTTCAGAATGGTTGGCTATGTCAGGTTTTTCTGTTTCATTGATGAGAACTTCTTTGTGTTTGATCTTGTCTGGGAATGGCGTGGAGATTGTGCGTGGAGGGGATGCCTGGTTACTCGGATCTGTACGTATACTTGAACATCGAGGTGGTCATTGGTCTAGTTCAATGAAGTCCTTTTCTGCGAAGTCAAGTCGTACTCTAAATCCTTTGAGTTGTGTTTGTGAGCGGCATATCGATTGTGGTTGGCCATTCTTTTTCGAGTGTAGTGGGGTCGTTTTGTCTTTGGATGTTCGTCCTTGGTGTTGTATGCTGATCTATATATTGCATAATATAATTTACATTTTATAAAACTTTTATTAGTTTAATGTTTTTTAATTATGATTTTGGTTAGTTGATTTCACAAAAGCTTTTTGTTTTAGTTTGGTTGTTTTGAAGAGTTACTCACCCTTGAGTACCTCTTATTAAAAATAGAAGTGTGGTCACAAAGCGTGGATGTAGCGCGGTGGGTTAGGCCGGCTATAGAGCATGCTCAGGACGTCCTCTCTGGTGGGTTAGGCCAGGAGTGGGAGTATGATTTCGTGCGGTTTCTGTGAGAGGTCCTGTTATGTGATAACGTTTTATGTCGGGTTTGTGGTGGTTTTTCTTATGTTTTGTTGGTTGTGTCCTTTTTTCAAAAATCAAATTGTTTTTGGTATGGGTTTGTCTTTCGACTTTTTTGTGTTTTATTATTTCTTTCTTAGACTTTATAATAGTCTTCAAAAGAATAAATTATCCAGTTTTAAACTGGGTTAATCCGGTTTGGGTACCGTTGGTTTCCTTTTCTTAGTCATGCTGTTATTCTATGTGTTGTGGTGTTTAGTAAGCTGCGTTGGTTAGTTTTGTTTAGTATATAATTCCTTTCCAACCGGGTTAAAGGAAAGTTTGAAACTTGTTATCGTGTGTTAGAGTTGTTGAGTGTGAAAACTTAAAACTGAAATTCATTATTTGAACAATTCTTCGTGGGCGAGCTGTGCGAGTTTGGATAGAATTTTTGTGCGAGTGAATGAAATATCAAAAGGTTAGTACTGCATTTTCGTTTTATTAATTTACTACATAGAATTCAATTTTACTGCTAGTTTTTGGGAAAAATTAAGTTACAAATTTTAATCATTATTAGATTTAATGCTTGTGGGGAAACAATTTATAAATTAATTTACTACATTGGTATGAATTTTATTTAAATTAGCTTGTGCAAAATATTAATAGAGTTTTGAACAATTTGAAGAAGTTTTCTATTTTTTATTTTTCTTTTGTGTATTTTGCAGATGATCGTGAGATGAAGACTAAAAATCTAAATAAGACATGGATAAAGAATGGTTAGTGTTTTATTTTAAATTTATTAGTTAAGAATATATATAAATTATACTTACCTGTTAGTCGTCGGGGAAAAAACCGTGGGGGAAGATGTCGTGGATTATGTCGGAATTTGTTAGTAATTTTGCTAGTATGCGAATGATGTTTTTAGTTTGAAGCAGTGGCCAAAGCAATTGAAGTGCTTTAATGGTTTTTAGTTCTTCAGTGCCAACTGCAAACTCATAAGGTGTCTTTTGGATGAGATTATATAATTTGTGGTTATATTTAGTGTTGTGGATGAATTCTAATATGGGGATTTCTATAGGTTGAACAAATTCATGTGGGATAAGGAAGGGTCTGGATTCTTCTGCGTTGAAGGTCTTTGTGATGGGACAAAAAATATACATTTGGGTTATGGGATCATAATTGCGAAGAATACCGTGAAGGTTAGTATCTTTGATGCAATATGTGAAATTAAGAAAAAATGGTGATGTGTATTTAGAGTTAATAAATTGAAAACGATGGTGTGGTTGTCTTGATGGAGTGTGTAGCTCAAAGTGATTTTGTATGAAGCGGTAATATGTATATGTGTGGGTTTGTTTAGTGCGTAACATAATGTCGTGTGAGCAGTGCAAATCTCGTTCATGTGGTGCAAGGAAATGAAAGGTTAGTGAAAATAATGGAAATTTTTCTTTAAAACTTTCGTAAGCTTGTGTGTCGGTTAGTGCTTCTGAAATGATGTGGTCAAATTTGCGATCAAATATATTGAGTGTAAAAACATATGGTGTTTTGATGAAAAATTTTTCTGTGATTTGTGGGTTAGCGAAGCGATCATCATCTAAAAATTGGTCTTGGTTAGTTCGGATGATGTTATGATCATAATATTCTAGCGTATATTCGTTAGCTCGGGGTGCAGTGTATGTTTTTAGTGACTTTTTATATCCTATATAAGTAAATTGTCTATGTGTTAGTGGTGTAGTGAGTCGATATAGCATATTTTGATTTCTTTCTATATCGATGTGAGTGTTAGATAAAGGTAGGCAAAGGGGGTTAGTAAAATGATAATATGATGTCCATTGAAGTGTAGGCATTAAAACGTGTTCATCTACAAAACTGCGTGTGTTGTTAGTGTCGTTAGGGGTGTTCAAAGTATACTGTGGAAATGAAGGTAAGGTGATTGCTAAAAACTCTCTCGTGTTAGTGTGATTTGGGTGATTAATATATTCACGGGCTGTTCCTGGTTTTGTTGGAAATGGATGGTTTGGGAATTTTCTTTTGAAAGTGCGGTAAGCTCTATTAGTGCTAATTGATGATTCGGTGGATGTGGATGATGGTGCTAATGATGCGGTATAAGC